TTTATGTTGAAAATTTCTAGATTCTGGCAGAAACAAGAAGTCCGGAGTTATGACATTTACGATCAGTCATAAATTTAGCTCGGGTACAGGGAACCGGACGCGCCTAAAAGGACAGGTCAGAGCTTGTTACAATTGCCTGTGAATGAGGGCCAGTATGATTGGGTTGCCTCGTTCAAGCTTCCCACGGAAGATGGGTTGAAATGTATATGTCAACACCATCTTTCGAATTCCCGGCGTGGGGTGTGCAACCCATTCCACAAAAGGGAGACTTTCACAATATTCCGAACTGAACGGACGTGACCCTTGCACGCTCCGGGACATAGCTAGCCGATAGTGTAACGCTGTAGTAACTTAAAGCTAAGAATACATTAATTTAACAGTGTGGTGAATTAGCAGGTGAATAAACGTCAATTGGCTCAACTCGCAGAAAAACGCTTTCTTCGGCATCGCTACCCTGAGACTCATGCAAACCGACCCAGCTAGTTTCCCGTACCTATACCGATCTTCCTTAGTTTGATCTGTGAGGACAACTTGCAGTGGCCATCATACACTGTCCTAAGGAAGAAACAGGTGTAGCAGGGATAGCATCATTCCTACTGCGCCGATACAAACAAAGGCGGGTTGGAAAAGAGCGGTGTTATCACTTAGGTTTGCATATGGAGAAAATGTTCTTACAATGTTAAATTATTTAGAGTTATTCTGAGTTCCACACTATTGATTGACTTTGATGTGCACTACAGTCGTCCTGTGTTTTATGGTGAGGCGTCAAACACTTAAAGCAACGTATAACTTGGCGTGTATTGTCTCTTCTCTTTCTGGTGGGGATGTGAAGAGTGATCGGTGCGGTTTCTGTTTCCTCAGTGTTATCTTACGTGTTGAGGCTCTACTGCCCTACTATGTTTTCCTTGTTTTGTTTTGTGCGGTATATATGTCGTCTTGAACCTTGTATATTGATTCTGCTTTCGGATGAGAGATCTGTGTCACAGACAACAGCTTCAGACGGCAGGCCTGCGCGAAACTGAGTGAAAATCTAACGCGCTTAGTGTTATCATATGTAATAATGCATGACAGCTCAACCGATAGGCCTATAAGAAAAGATGATTACAAACGAAAATGTTGAATGAAAGTTATATTAAGATCTGAGGTTCTTACAACGGTGGTTATGAACACTGTTATAGTGTATAACGACTGCCTCTGTGGTCTAGTGGTCAGACTTCCTGGCTACAGATCCAGAGGTCCCGGGTTCGATTCCCGGTGCTACCAGATTTTCTGAAAAGTAGTAGGTCTGGAACAGGGTCCACTCAGCCTCGTGAGGATAACTGAGGAGCTGTTTCAAAGAAATAGCGGCTGAGGTCTGGGAAAACCGAGATTAACGGCTGAGGGGATCGGTTGCGCTGACAACGCGACACTCACTATCCGTAAAAGTTGGCACTAATTTCGCCAACAAGCGGCGGTCGCTCGGTCGGTATAGTTCGCTTACGGACTACAGGCCACGGAGTTTGTTTTGTTGTAGTGTATAACAGGAGACGGTATTCTTCAAAAGTGACGGTTTCTTTTATTGGCAGTTCATGGTTAAATTTGAAGGATCATTATTGTACCCTTAAAAGCATGACATCAGACCAGGTCCTGAATAAATTTCGCACAAATGAATAGGCCTCCGATTGAACCGGTTGGTACAGAGGTAACGCTCTTTATTTGTGTTCTGGAGGTTCTTCCTTCGAATCTTACCTGGGTCACCTGCTATTTTTGAATGAGGATTTTCGTATTTTCCTTCAGTCCCTCCAGACATGTTCCGGGAGAGTACCACAACCGTTTCCTTCCAAATATTTTGCAATTCGCCAGTCATCATTTATCTTTCGTGCTGAAAGCGTTCTTAAGTAGCCTGCTAAAATAGAAGATAAGATGCTTAAGTACTGAGCAACATAACTGAATACCTCAGCTATTACATAATTGTTGTAAGCAATTTATGTGTTATCGAAAGCTATCGTTCAAGCAAAATTGTTTTACACTATTCATTATTAGCAACTTTCCCCTTCCGTGAGCACTATACGAGCTTCTGGAATATAACAGCGTGTACTCGGCTTTCAGTGGACTACGCGGCCTTGTTTCCCAGGAGAGAGAACTCTCCATAACCACCGCTGTGAGAACGTTAAAACCTACCATCCAAACTTCGAAGTACTTTACAGACTCGGGTCTGTTTTAAGCAATTATATAATGGGTTTTATATAGAATGATTCGCTCTCATCCATACACAGCCATCAATACTGAATCGTCTTCAATATACAGTAAAACTTGGTTACAGCAACATCGGTTTCTGCGACACCTTGTCTATTGCGTCAAATATTCAATGGTACGAACTAATTCCTCATAAAGCAACTGTTTTTATACCTTGCTTAGTACGACATGCACAAATGCATCAACCTCGTATGTAACGTCATTTTCATTCCTGAATTTCTCTGATATGTACATTGAACGTAATTTAGAAAGTGTGTATTGGGCAAGTAACAGGAAACAGATGAAGATAACTGATTACTGTACTCGTATCTAGGTACAGTAAGGCACAACAATTGATGTAATCTACTGTAATTTGGTGAGTAGGCCTACCTTTAATATACAGTATTAGTGCGGTGTGTATTGTCAGTGAAAAGCGCTGTAATATGTCTTTGATATTACACATTTGGGCAATTCCACGTTAATGTTACGTTAGTCTGTACTTAACTACGTATTTCACTAAAAAATGCAACATTTTAACTCGGTTTTGGTAGATTTTTACGTGACTAACATAAGGCTACTGTGGAAGTGCCCATTTCGGTTACAACGACATTCGTTTATAACGACACTATTTTTAGGTCCCTTTGATGACGTTATAACCAAGTTCTACTGTATATACATACGTACATGGGGCACGCGGTAGTGTAGTTGATTAAGGGACTATGCTTCAAGCCGGAAGGTCGCGGATTCGAGTCCTGATGAGATCATTGAATTTTTCAATTTACCTAATCCTCCCAGCCGTAATATGGCCCTGGGATTGACTCACCCTCTAACAGAAATAAGTACGATGAATCTTCCTGGGGGTAAAGGGCGCCTGGCGCGTTAAGCTAACCTCATCGCCATCTGTGAGCCGATTGTCTAGCAAATGTGGGATTCTCGACGTCTCAGAACCCTGTGGGCCTTCACGGCCTATTACAGGAATGGCTTCATCTTTGGCGTTTACATACATACATACATACATACATACATACATACATACATACATACATACAATACATACACAGCTCAATGTGCGTAAGAGATAATACCACATGACTTGTCCCAGGGAAGAATTAACACACTGAATTATTCTTCGTTAGGGAACAAAACTGTAGCATATAACGGTAAGGCAAAGTTATCCGTGTTCTTAATAAGTTAAACACTATGCCACTAAGATATATGGGGGAATGGAGGTACAGCTTCACCTTTAATGACCTGGGCAGTAGATAGAGGTGGGTGGTCAGCTTCACGTTCCTGCCGCTTTATCCACTGGGAATGATCCCTCTGTACCGTTTGGATAGGAGACCGGGTTACCCCAGAATCGGTCTGGACGCTGTGGAGAATAGAAAAATCTTCCAGTGACAGGGAATCGAACCCGGGACGTCCAGCCCGTAGCCACTCACTATGCCGACTTTTTTATCATGATTCCGCAGAATATAAGGAACGTTCAAAATCGATTCTGTATACATTTCTGTTCAGGCCAACAGAAGGGGACATCTCGTCAGAGAGCGACAGCAGCAGCTACGATCCCCTGGATGAGTTGACACACTACAGGTTACCACGGAGGCAACACTGGTCCAACAAGGCGCAGTTCGTGCTCGCATGTGTTGGTTACTGCGTAGGCCTGGGAAATCTCTGGAGGTTTCCCTATCTTTGCTACAGGAGTGGTGGAGGTAAGAAAGTCTTCAGAATTTTGGGTGATTCAGTCGTGGCTTGTGTAACGATTGTTTCAATTGCAAAGGTTATGCAGCATCGAATGAGTATTGTTTTTATTGCTAGTGGAGTGGGACTAAGTCCCTTTTACTGCGGCCACTTCTGGCCTATTGTACCAGCCCCAGATGATAGGTGAGAGTGATTGTGGAGCAATTGGTGAAATGAAGATTGGCAGAGAAAACCGAAGTACTCGGAGAAAACCTGCCCCAGCGCCAATTTGTCCACCACAAATCCCATTTGACCAGACCCAAGATGGTTGTGAAAGACGCTTTCTAAAGAATACAGGAAGAAGGAATCCTTCATGTCTCGTTGACTTACCATACTTAGAGGATAAGCCCTTTCTCGTATAAAAGCGAACTTAATGAAAAATAATAGTTCTTTTGTGCTGATATGAACCAAAATTAAGTTCTCTTGACAATTTTGTTGTAGATCCCCAATAGATACATCAGATTTCATTTAAAATCTACACTATTTTCGGAGATGAAACACGCAGATGGACAGATTTCCCATTAAGACTCGGAGTTGCTGGGGTTTTGAACTTGATCATAGTCCGGTGTTCTAGAGAACACTAAAGAACATAACGTTTCGGAAACTGGATCCTTTTTTCCGTCTTCAGATGAAGTGGAGGGAGACACCTACACTTTTGACTCAGTTAGAAGGAGCTGGACCAGTGACACGTTAGCGCTTTCTAACGGATCCTACAAAGTAGGTGTCTCCCGCTCCTTCACCTGAAGAAGGAAACAGATCCAGTTTCCGAAACGTTGTGTTCTTTAGAATACCGGACGTTGGACAAAGTCCACAAACCCGATAATACAAAGTTAATATGATTGTCAGAACCCTTCAGAATATACTTTTCATATGCATTTTCTGCAAGGACTACGTAAAATTGCTACGTTCCATAATGCTTTACTAGCATGCTGAGTGTGAAGCAACGTGTGGAGAACAGCAAATTTGTTCGAGAGATATTGCTTCTATCTTTTATTCCAGAGGTGTCCAGTTTGAATTTTGACAGGAATACACACTCCCTCCCATACATTTCTCATAGTTTGTCACAAGCAAGTTGGCTCAAGTGGTAAAGAAAAGTAAGTAAATGTATCCCGGTAACAGGCCGTGGAGGAACGTAGGTTTGTGAGATGTTGACGTTCCCACATTTTCTATACAATCGGCTCATAGATGGCTGTAAGGTTGTCAGCCTTACGCGCCGGCCGCCCTTTACGCCCAGGAGCATTCCAAGAATATTCGTGGTACTCATTTCTGTTAGAGGCTGAGTCGACCCCAGGGTCATAGTGCGGCTGGAAGGATTAGGTTACTTGAAAATTCCATTGACCTAATCAGGAATCTAACCCACTACCTCCTGGCTTGTAGCATAGTGCCTCAGCCAACTATGTTACCGCGTGCTCCCAGTCATATGCTGGTATAGATTATAAATTATGATGCACGCGTTTCCTTAGACTTCATTCCCATTTTATTTTTCTCCGTCGTCCTTCCTTTGGGCTCATATAGTTGTCAGCTTGCACGCAAACAGATACTTTGCAGGGATGTAGGTGGCTACACTCGGCTTTCATGCACGTCATGTCGAAGGAAGGAGGTTTCAGTTGTCCCAGTGTTCTTCAAAAGCACCGCTCTCGCAGACCCTCCTGCATGAGAACACGTAGACCTTCCAGTGTCACTGAATTTAAATATCCGTTAGGTTTAGGTCTGACGAACATGGCCGTCAGGGCTTTCATTTCTGTAATCAGCGGACGATCGACTTGGGGATCCAGTAACAAAATTCTGCTCTGCTCCGTCGGGCATGAACGTCATGCCCGCGCGTGTTGCCAGTTGCAGGAACCTCACAGATATGATGCGACCATGTACGTACCGTTTATTATTATGAAAGTGACACTAAATAGCAATAGGTTAGAGTTCTGTTACAACTTGTTACTTAAAAGCAGATTATTTTGCTGTTATCATATGACAGAAACAAAGAGGCAGTATAGAAAATACGTTTACTAGTAATTTATAGTTTGTGCATTTTTTACCATGCTTTATACGAGAAACGTATTAAATTTTGCAAATTTATATCAGCCTGCCTTCAGTACAAATATAACCTAGTTTAACACTGTATATTAGGTATTACTTTGGCCGTTATCCACTGTATGAGCCAACTGAATGTGCATCCCCCAATTGTTGCTACGTAACGGATTCTTAAAAACGTTACCGCGACAATGAATACAAAGCAACAATAGAACAATTGTTGAAGGCATCGTTTTATGCAGTCCGTGTCGTAACAAAGGAAAGTAGATGATTAGTTTTTTCCAGAATTTCTTGTTTATTCTAAGATTAACAGCAAGATTTAGATCGAACCCGGGACCTTCTTGTATTGTAGCTGAGTCGCTGATCACTAGAGCAACCTTTCTCAAAATTCCGGCAACTGCCGACCACTGCATGGGAGGCAGGCACACACGCGGACCGCTTTTCTGTCGTAACATTCCTCTCACTCATAAAGAGCATGGAGTGCCTTCCTTTCTGCGAACATGAACAGAAGTATACTTAAATTTACCACAATCCATTTTTTCTTTCCACCAGATAAAAATAAATTTTTCGAACAGTGATTCATCGCAATTGTTAAATAAAATTATTTTATTTTTTACAGGGGCACCCGGTAGAGTAGTTGGCGGAGGCACTATGTTACAACCCGGAAGGTCGCGGGTTCGATTCCCGGTGAGCTCATTGGACTTTTCCATTGACCTAATCCTTCCAATGGCTCTGATGTCGACTCGGCCTCTGGCAGAATTGAGTACCAGGAATTTTCCGGGGGGGGGGTTGAGGGTGTAAAGGGCGCCTGGCGCTTAAGGCTGACTATATCACCTCCATCTGTTAACCTATTGTCTAGAATGTGGGGAAGCCTCGACGTCTCACAGTCCTAGGGGCACCCACGTCTCTTACAGGGATAGCTTTAGCCTTCACTTGTACCTTATACACATTACATATTACATGTCATAGTGCAAGGCATGTAGCATTCCGGGGAAGAAGAGGAATGGATATAGAATTTTGGTGGGAAAACCAGAAGGAAATATACCATTAGGAATGCCTAGACGTAGGTGGGACAATAATATTAAAATGGATCTTAGAGAGAGAGAGGATGAGATGGTATGGATTGGATTGATCTGACTCAGGATAGGGATCGGTGGAGAGCTCTTGTGAACACGGTAATGAACATTCAGGTATCATAAAATGTCGGTAAATTCTTGAGTAGCTACGCAACTGTCCGTTTCTCAAGAAGAGTTCCACTCTATGGAGTTAGTTACATATCATATAATTCTACTCATATGGACCATATAATACTACGGACCATCTGGTGGGCCGTCACAGACCACAGTTCGATAAACACTATATTACATTGCGGGGGCGACAAAAATTACATCATTTCTGGGGTTCAGCCTTGACTTTGTATCATGGACTACTCTCATGGGGAAGAGTTAACCTTCTGTCATAAAGGCAAGCCAGTTGCCTCCAGTAACCGTTCGTGATTTACAGGCGGGTAGGCGCTAGGGCAGTATGTGTCCTTGCCTAGGACATGTTTCATAGGCATATACGTTGATTTGTTTCACTCTACTTAGTCCTTTCTTGCTTATGAAAATTAATTTAAAGTGTGTTATGGCTGTGTTACACGAGTAGTGTGTATTCCGTCATTTTATCCGAAATTTTTAAAACCTGAAAATAATTTAAATACAATTTTAAAATGAATTTTAGGGACCACTTACTTACAGAGTTTACCATTTAGACCATAAGGAAGAGGGGGAGGGAGAAAGATAGTGAAAGGGGCACATGGAAAACTGATACAAATTTCCCGGCTCTGAAGATTCCCTTGCATTGCCCGCTTATTCTTCTAGCTAAGGTAGATTGGGAAGAAAACGAAGCGCTGGGATCTGAAGAGAGTAAAACTGTGGGGAGTGGGCTGCTTTAGATTTTGAACAGGAGAGAGAAGCTAAGCATGGTCTTCATTGCCTTAGATCAGAATTTCGATACTAACACTGGGAGATCAGCATGTGAAACATGCAGTGCAAAGAGAGGATTTTGTGTCAGCTCATAATTTACTCTAGGATCGAGGAATACCACGGAAAATCCAGATCGAATTGGCGGGTCGCATAAATTTCCGGAGTTTTTGTTATATCAAGGCAGGTCGTACTTACTCATACAGACCTGGTTTGGCTACCAGTGTGAAGTGTTAAGTAAATTTAATCAAGTGTATGAATCAGTAAATGAATTACATATCCAGCTACCTTGAATATTTTCTCCCAATTACCACCATGTAGGATTAGCCACCTAAGGAATTAAATTAACTATAATTATTCCCTCCATAGTCTTGACCGAAATAGCAAACTTTCGTTATATCGTCTATTTATTGCCGTTCCTTATTAACACTTTAAGCTAAAAAAAACTAAGGCCAATTTAAGCAAGCGAACACCTTGAACATATAATCTACCGTCAGTATTCCTTCTCGTTACACCGGAGACTTTGAGAAAGAGAGATGAGTAGCATCACCGGCTTACTTTGTCATTCAGAGATCTGTCACGTTGTCATACATCAAGAACGGCTCTGTAAACCAGCATAGAGGTCAATTTGTTTGCGCAATGACATCACTTTAAAAGGACAGCAATATCAGAGGTAGATGGTGCATAGGGATGAACAGTCTGTGTATAAAACTCTTGGGTGTGTTTCCGTTCCTCGTCAGCTGGAAAAAGTTCGCGGGAAGGCTGATGGAGGCGCCACTTGATAGCTCTATTACGAAAGCTGCTTACATGGGATACACGCAAAACAAATAGGCACACATAACATTTATAAGAAGACAACCTATCAATGGACTTCGCATCAATGCATATGGGGATTATCTCGCGACCTGGAAATGTCCCATGCTCTTTCCGGGCACATGGTCGTATTTACCATTTGGTCTCCCCGCCGTATACAAATGAGACAG